CACTCACCGGCTGACCGTCGATCCGGCCTCCGCGCCTGTCAAACAGAAGCGGCGCTACTTGTCCGCTGACAGGCGGGACTTCGTCAAAGGGGAGGTCGCCATGCTCCTATCGATCAAACATATCAAAGAGGTGAAGTACCCAACATGGTTGGCCAACGTCGTCCTCGCACAGAAACCGCCGACGTTCAGAATGTGTGTTGACTACACTGACCTGAACAAGGTGTGCCCCATGGACCCGTTCCCTCTCCCCAACATTGATCAGCTGGTGGACGAGACGGCGGGGTGCGAGTTGATGTCGTTCCTCGACGCTTTCAGAGGGTACCACCAGATCTCCATGCATGAAGATGACGCCGAGAAGACGGCATTCATGACCCCAGAGGGAATATTTTGCTACCTCGTCATGGCCTTCGAACTCAAAAACTCCGGTGCCACCTATACTAGGATGGTGGCCAAAATCTTCAGAGCGGTCCTTGGCCGGACGATGGAGGCGTACGTCGACGACATGATCGTCAAGAGCAGGCAGGCCACCTCCCACGCCGACGACCTCCGGGAGATCTTTGAAATCATGAAGGAGTTCAGGCTCCGCCTTAACCCCAAGAAGTGCGCCTTCGGCGTCCAGGGCGGCAAGTTCCTTGGCTACATGGTCAGCCGGAGAGGCATCGAGATAAACCCGGAGAAGACGCAGGCTATCATCAACATGGAGCCGCCCCGCAACGTCAAAGAGGTTCAGCGACTGACGGGGCGCCTGGCGGCCTTAAACCGATTCCTCTCCAGGTCAGCCGAGAGGGCGCTCCCCTTCTTCCAGATCATGCGTAAAGCCAGCAGCTTCAAGTGGACGACGGAATGCCAGGAGGCATTCGACGAATTGAAAAGGTACTTGTCGTCCCCACCCGTGCTCTCCAAGCCTAGAGTCGGCAAAACCCTCTTCTTGTACTTAGGGGTGAGCACGTCGGCCATCAGCTCCGTGTTCATCCGTGAGGACGAAGGGGTGCAGAAGGCCATCTTCTACATCAGCAAGACACTCAGGGAGGCCGAGCTCAGGTACTCCCCCATTGAGAAGACGGTGCTGGCCATCGTCCACACAGTGAAGAAGCTTGGACACTACTTCCAGGCCCACACCGTCCATGTGCTGACCCAGCAGCCTCTCGGCGCGCTCATGAGGAGCCCCACCAGCTCCTCGAGGATGGTGAAATGGGCGATCTTCCTCAGCCAGTTTCAGATTGAGATCAAGCCAAGGCCATCTATCAAAGGGCAATCCTTGGCCGACTTCGTCATTGAATGCACAGCTAGGGAGACGGCCGTCACCAACTCCGGGCCGGAGCCGGACGATACGTGGACCCTATTCACTGACGGCTCATCGGCCACGAAATCATGCGGCGGCGGCGTCCTCATATCCCCTGAAGGATTCAGAGCTTACTATGCCATCCGCTTCAACTTCAGGGTATCCAACAACGAAGCCGAGTATGAGGCCCTCCTCAGCGGTCTCAGACTCGCCGCCGGCCTCAAGGCCAAGCACCTCAGAATCAAGTGCGACTCCAAACTGGTAGTGGGCCAGGTGGAGGGATCGTACGAAGCAAAGGAAGGCCGGATGAAGCAGTACAAACAAGCGGCGGAGGAATTGCTGAAAGCGTTTGAAACCCACGAGATCACTCAGATCCCAAGGGCCGAGAACGCCGAAGCCGACATCCTCTCCAAGCTCAGCTCGGACACCCCGGAGCACATCTCCCGGTTGGCCAAGATCGAGGAGTTGAGCATGTCCAGCATCCATGCCAGCCCCGTCTTGTGCGTCCAACAGCGACCAGAGGACTGGATCTCCGACATCGCCACCTTCATCACAACGGGGGAGCTTCCCCCGGACGAGGAGAGGGCCAAACTTGCCAAACTCAGGGCCCCAAGCTACACCATAGAAGATGGCAAACTCTACAAACGGTCCTATAATGGCACTCTCCTCCGATGCCTGCACCAGGACGAGGCCGACACAGCCATGGAAGAAGTTCATTGCGGCGTCTGCTCCTCACACCAGGGCCCTTTCAGCATGTCCCGACGTCTCGTCGTCCAGGGTTTCTTCTGGCCGACGATGACACGCGACTGCGCTGACCTGGCCAGGAAGTGCACCACCTGCCAGGTGCTCCAGAAGGCCCCTGGTCGGCCAGCTGTCAACTATGCCCCTGTCAGTACCGCAATTCCATTCTCCAGATGGGGGATTGACCTGGTCGGCCCCCTGCCCAGAGCCGCCGGGAATAACCGCTACATCATCGTCGCCGTCGACTACTTCACCAAGTGGGTCGAGGCAGAGCCTTTGGCCAACATCACAGGGGCCAGATGCCAGAAATTTGTTTACAAGAACATCATCACACGCTTTGGCATCCCCCAGGAGATCATATCAGACAATGGCACCCAATTCGAGGCGGCCCTTTTCCAAGAACTCCTCCGGGAGTTTGGGGTGAAGCATCGTTTCTCCTCCGTTGCCTACCCTCAGGGCAACGGGCAGGTCGAGAACGCCAACAGAACAATCATGGAGGGGCTGAAGAAGAACCTCCAGGCCGCAGGAGGTAGTTGGGTCGACGAGCTCCCCAACATCCTGTGGTGCTACAGAACCACGCCGAGGAGGGCGACAGGTGAAACGCCTTTCGCCCTATGCTACGGCTTCGAGGCAAAGGCGCCCACAGAAGTTGCCATCCCCAGCCGACGGGTGGAACAATACGAGCCTGACGCCAATGAGGAAAGCATGAAGATTGACCTGCACCTGGTCGATGAGAGGCGTGAGCAAGCTTACGTCCGAGCAGAGAACTACCGGCGTCAAGTAAAATCATACTATGACGCCAAGGTACGTTCCCGGGAATTTCAGGTGGGGGACTACGTCCTCCGCCGAAGGGAAGCAAGCCAGCCGACAGAGGGTGGCAAGCTAGCATTGAAGTACGAAGGGCCCTACATCGTCAGCGCCGTTGTCAGACCCAGCACCTACAAGCTTAAACACCCGAATGGGTCCAATGTACCACGAACATGGAATGTACACCATCTGGTGAAGTTTTATCAGTAATCCGGAGGAGGTGTAGACGGCGAAGCCCTCACCCCTTAACGGGTTACTGATTGAACGCCACCCTCGGCCTCGAGCCACTTATGAATAAAATCATGTTCTGATTTTTTCTCTGGAAATTCAAAGTAAAACATTAACAGGTGCCCTCGTCGGCCACCTTAGAGCGAAAGGCTCAGGTCTGGCCGACATGGCCCCTTGCATTTGCAGCCTACGAGCGACAAGCTCAGGCACTCCATTGTATTTTGTATCAGCGAAGGGCTCAGGCCTAGCTGAGAGAGCACATCGTCCTGGCCCCGTAAGCCTAGAAGTGAAACGCTCAGGCATGGCCGACGATGTCCCCAGGACGAGGGGCCCGCAAACGGCCCACGTCTTGAAACGGGAAGCTCACTGTGTCGTCCACGCGCCAGAACGCAGGACGACAGGCCTGAAATCATGGCCGAGGTGACAAAATCCCAAAACTCAGGGATGGGCAACGACAGCCGTTGGAAACCGACCAAAAGTCTAGCCCGCGTCATAAATAGGCGACGGGACCCGCCCTGAGACCACGGACGTTATAAACGAAGTCCGAACCGGCCGAAGGACGAGCACACCCTTCGGCCGAAGCCTGAAAGAAGGATACCCCCCGAAACGGAAAAAAAAAACATACAAGGGAAAAAGAGGGAAGCCGACGGCCGCGCACACTTGCCGGCCTCGAGCAATGAAAAAATAAAATCCCCACAACTCAGGCCCAACTAGGCCAAGTACATATCAGTTGAACACAAGTGTAGTACCACTGACAGGCAACATGGACGACACGTCCACACACTACAAGGGAATAATCAAGGCCGAAACACACGCCTATAAAACCCTAACCGCATCGGTTGGGTGACACGCGAGAGGTGACCTTCATCGGCCATAGTCCTTTGAGGCACCAACGCTTGGTATGAAACAGAGCATCGCAATCCTGAGGATGACCAGGACGACGCGGGCACTCATCACACCCGCGAAAGGATCAAGCAATCAAGGAACAACCCCTACTTGCCACAGCATCTCGGATGGCCGACGCAGGCACTGGAACCAAGGCTGTTGGTCAAGCGAACGTTCTCTGGGAATCGGTTCAAGTGTTTACAAAGCACTTAGAAAAAATCCCGAGAAAAAAGAAGAGGATTCCTCAACAAGGAACCATGGCTGGCCGACGAAGGTAGGACCACCTCCTTGGCCGACAGCGGTACCGCGAAGAAGTAAATGCCCAACATTTACACTTGGAAAATTCTCTAAGTACTCAAGTGGAGGGAACTCTAGCCGAAGCGGGTACCAGTATACTCCAAAGCCGTTAGCTACCCACACCTCCGCATGTGTACTTGGGAAAAATTCAAAGTCCACAACACAGGGATGCAGGCCGACAATGACACTGGTTCAACACTTGGCAACTCATCCCAACCATTTTCCAATAATGGGGAGAGACTAAACCCCATGGACATAGCGGACACTACGGTCAAGGCTGAAAAGGGAAGCACCTAAAGGGAATCAAAAACACTTAGGAAATTTTTTGAAAAAATCCTAAGTGTTATGATAGCAAAGGAACACCGGTCAGGCCGACAAGGCCACCAGGCCGGAAGGGAAGCAACTACACGAATCCAAAACACTTAGGAAATTTTCAAAAAAAAATCCTAAGTGTTAGGATAGTACAGAAATGACGGTCAGGCCGATCAGGCCACCAGACCGAGAAGAAAGCACCTAAGTGAACCCAAAAACACTTAGGAAATTTTTGATAAAAGCCTAAGTGTTATGGTAGCCGAGGACCACCGGTCAGGCCGACAAGGCCACCAGGCCGGAAGGGAAGCAACTACAAGAATCCAAAACACTTAGGAAATTTTCGGAAAAAATCCTAAGTGTTATGATAGTTCAGCAACGACGAACGAGCCGACCAGGCCACCGGACAGGGTGGACGACCTCACGGACGTGGCGGACACTCACGGTTGACCCAAGTTATGACTTGACACTTAGACAATTTACAGAATTGAAATGACAAAAGGCAAACAAGCATACAATGGATTCAAAGCCGAGAAGGATGGCAAAAATTCTTTCATTTAATCAATTCATTACAATGGGGGGCGCTTCGGCCATTACATCAGTTAGACAAAGCAATGAAAAGCAAATTACAAAGGAGCAGGGAGTAGCCGATCAAGCCTCTGGGGCACCCCCATCCGTGGCTGCCTCTTCGACCTCGTCAGCTTCCTCCTCGGCCTCAGCCTCCTGACCGTCGGCGGGTGCAGCACTGGTGGCATCGTCCAGGAAGTCGAATTCAGTGTAGTCCGGCTCGCCGAGGCCGGAGCTTTCTATGGGGGACTCTCGCTCCGACAGCGGAAGCTTGGCCTGCTCTTCTGGATCCTTCATCAGCTTTGGCAGCTTCAGGTTCCGTCTAGCCCACCCAGACGTGTAATTCATGGCCTTCAACGCCCGGGATAGCCGCCGACACATGAGCCTTTGCATCCGCTCCTGGCCCAGGTTGTAATAAACGGACATCTCCCGGCTGAAATACTCCCGGCCGGCGGGGGAGTTCATCCCCCAACTCTCAAGCCTGGCGGCCACCACTTCGTAGCACCAGGGGAGCCTCTCATCGGCCTTCCACCCCTCGGCCAGGAACTTCTCAACGGCCTCGTCAGCAGCCCTCACAGCGGCGGCCTCGGCCTCAGCTTTCGCCTTAACGGCCTCCTCGCTCTTGCGCTTCTCGGCCTCAAGCGCCCTTTGGGACTCCTCGAGCTCCCTTTTGCTCTCCTCGAGCTTGACCAGGGCATCGTCCCTGGCCGCGGCGGCTTCATCAGCTTTTGCCTGCAGCGCCTTGGCATCCTCCCGGAGCCGATCAAGGCAAGCTACCGCCTCGTCGGCCGAGGCAGCCTTCTGCTCCAGCCCTTTCAAGCGAGCTATCTCCCAATACTGCCTCTTATGGCTTTCCATAAGCATGAAGGCACTCTGCAGAAGGAAAACAAAGGTCAGGCAAAAGACTCTACACAGACGAAAAGGGAACAAAAAACATAAGGACAGTAACTTACTTGGACGAAGAGGTCCATGCCGCCCTCGTAAATCTTCTCGTCCCCAAGCTTCTTCAGATAAGCCCGATCTTTGGCCGGCATGGCCTGGGCCAGGACGACGTGGCCAGGGACGAGATCATTAAACACGCCCCCGCCGACGGGGTATTCTACCACCTTCTGGTAGGTGGCACCGGCAATCTCCTTGCCGGCCCTCTTCGTCCGCGGCTCCTGGACGAGAGGAAGCGTTGGGGCAGCATCGTCAGCAACAGTAAGGTCCACAACGGGACCACCATCGTCCATGATGGGGACAGTCAGAGTACCGGCCTCAGTAGCCGGAGAAGGGGAAGGAGCCCACTTCGTCTTCTTCGAGATGCTCACGCCGGCCTCAGTTAACTTTTTTTGGCCGTCAGAGGCCGGCCTTTTCTTCTTCAATGGAGCAGGCTTTGGGGCCACATCAGCAGTAGCCCCGCTCCCACCGGCCGCGGCACGTCTGGCCGCCTCGGCCGCCTTAGCAGCAATCTCCTCGGCCGCTTTGGCCTTGGCAATAGCCATCATGGAACGACGGTCCATGACAAAATCTACAAAGGAAAAACACAAACAGATTAGTAAGGCAAAGGACAAAACATAAAGACAGAAAGCCGAAGAAAGAATTACCATCGGCCTCAGCAGGAATGCCCAAGTCCGGGCCGTCGGCCTCCTCAAAGGTGGTGGTCATCCTCGGCCAGAGTTGGAGGTCATCCTCTTTGTCACCATAGACATAGTACCTCACGAAGCCGAGGGCGGCCATCTTGTATTCAGTGATGTAATCCTTCACGCTCCTCGGCCCCCCTTCCAAGAAAGCTTCCACCTGAGCGTCCAGAATAGAGCTCTTCGGCAGGTCGTGCAGGTTAAACCTCCCGGTATGGCCGAGGGAGGGAAACTCGGTGCCACTCTCACCAATGGACACAAACACGAACTTGCTCTTCCACCCATGAATGGACGTAGGCAAATCCGTGAAACTCCTCTTCTTCGGCAGCTGCTGAAGAGTAGCATAGGCCGCACAGTTCTTGTGACTTCCTCGGCCTATCTGGTACAGATTCATGAATAGTGCCGTCGTCGGCCTGTAGCCCAACTCCTCACACCGGAGCAGAAACCCCACCATCAAGGAGTAACTGTTCGGCGTCAGCAAGGCCGGAGGAAGCCCTACCATGTCCAGGTACTCAGTAATGAAAGGGTGAAGGGGGAACCTCAACCCCTTAGCAAAACTCATCGGGTATACTCCAAAGTACCCCGGTGGTGGAAGAAGAACATGGTCCGTCGGCTTGGGTGCCCTAACCCGCCCGAACGGCCCAACGTACATCTGGGCAACGAGATAGTCGGCCGCACTGCTTTCCGGCTTGATCAGGAAGATGTTGGTGAGATCCAACTGGGAGGTGCCCGGTCCACTCTTCGGCCTCCTCACTCTCTTCGGCTTAGCTGCTCCCTTCACAGCAGACACCGGCCTCGGGCACGGAATGACAGCAGAAGTGGACGCCCCGTCCACCACTCGGGACGCACCTACGTCCTCACCCTTTGAAGAGGAGGCGGACTCCTCGTCCTCGCCTTCCTCGTCCACTGGCTCTCCGGATTTGTACGGACTTAAACGCTCTATCTCCTCCTCAAACTCCTCGAGCACCTCGTAGTCAAGCGACCTCGTGGAGGGCTGGTCGTCGTAGGGGTAGTAGTCGTCGTTCAAGCTCTTCATAACTACTACTACGGGCCTAAGGAGATTTAACTTAAGATCTAAGGGGGTTCAAACACCTAACACTAGATCACTAATCTAGGAAGCAAAATATGAAAAGTGAGGAAGATCGTGATGAACACTAACCTTGAACAACGACGAACACGAAGAACAAGCTTGGGAGTTTATCTCTCTAGAAAAATGGGCAGCACTTCGACAATTCAGAATGCAAATGTGATTCCTCGTCGGAGGGGAAGGGGTATTTATAGACCCCTCCACCCAACGGTCACTACACGTGGCACTCTCCCGGTGGCCACATCAACGGCCACCAACGGGAGGCCACCACGTCACCAACGGGCCAGGCCCAACTCACATCAACAGCCCACTGGCAAACCAGACTCCAACGGCCCACACACTTGCCAGCTTTACAAGTACCAGCAAGCGCCCACAACGTCCCACTTGCCCGCCAAGATCACAACTGCCAAACAATAAGGAGACGGCAACGGCCGGGAACGTAACGGCCACAAGATCAAAGAACCCAAGAGCCCACAAGCCATCGGCTCCTCGTCATGACCCTTGATGATAACTCTCTACATGCGATCTGCGCACAAGGGTTCTCCCACAGGGTTACCTTGGCCAGAAAATCGTCATGAGAGTTGGATTCAGGGGGACTACGGAGAGGCCGCTTCGGCCGGGGACTCAAGCAACTCCTTCACCCCTCACACTCTTCGGCCTGAAGCAGTGGGGGACTGGGGGACTACACCGGCCTCAACAAAACGAAAGAAAATGCAAACAAGGTGACCACAAAGCATGGCCACATTATCCATACAGCACAACGGAACTTCATCGGCCAAAGGCCCATAACGTCATCAGCAACGGCCAACAAGCCACTAGAGGCAAGGACACTCATCGTCCTCCGCCAACAATTAATCTTGACGGGCCCTTCGGCCAAGAACACGAAAGCTAATCAACGACGGCCAAAAGGAGCGCACAAACACCCTCATCGGCCACCCAAAGGAAAGGACGCCATCGTCCTCCAAGCAAGGAATAACTTCAGTGGCCTCATCGGCCCAAATACAAACTTCAACCATCAGCGCCCGAGCAAAACATGCCTTCAACGGCCACCATTGAAAGAAGGACACTCATCGTCCCAAAACGAAGACATCAAGTAAACAACGGCCTCCCTGTCCACAACGAGGAACAGGTAACGGTCAAGGGCAACAAAGCACAGGAATCTACTCTCCTTCACTTCGTCTACGTCTCAGCTTAGAGAGTGGGGGACTCCTGATGGAGTATATGGGTCTGAGCCCCCGGATCCACATACTCGGAAGAACAGAAAGCACAAGGCACAGAGTGGCGCCCTCGTCGGCCAGGACGCCCCCGTCGGCCGAAAAGGGGCCAACTCGGATTATGGTCCTGAGTCCAAAGAACCCGGGTGCCCTCGTCGGCCGTGCCCTCGTCGTCCGTGCCCTCGTCGGCCACGCCCTCGTCGGCCACGAAGACCTCACAGAATCGGATTTTATACTTACTCATTTGTACAGCCCATTAGTGGCTTTGTATTCGGCCCAGTAGCGGTCCAGTTGTAAATGGGCCTCCCAAGCCCAAGGCTTGGGAGCCCAACCCTAATTTTCTCTATAAATACTCCCTTTGGGAGTAGTTATAGGGGTTACGAAATCATTCTATTGAAGCATATTATTGCACTTCTCTCTCTAACTCTCACTTCTCTCTAGATATACTCTATCAGTAAGAGTTCTTGAGTGTAATGTAGGAGTTCTTCTCTAGATCGAGTCAAATACTTTGATCATCCACCAACGGTATTGTTATGGACCTTTTGGCTGAAGGAGTAAACCTCAACAGAATAGTTAAGTGAACACGAGAAACTAATATAATATTCTGAGAATTTTACAAAAATTACAAAAGGTCATATATTAATCAAACTATAAAAATATTAAACTACTTATTTATTCTTTTAGGCATTGTACTGAAGGCTATTGAACGGGTTAGAAGAACATAAATCGATTGCCAGAAGAACTGAAGAATGCCATCAATTCGTTGTAGATTTTAGTAAGTTTTTAATTCTTCTGTGTGCTTAGATGCTAATTAGATATAATTAACTAATTAGGTATATACATAACTAGAAGAACAAAACAAATCGATCCTAAACGATTCATAGTAAGAACCCAAAAGAACAAACTTTGTTAAATTCATAATCGATCAAGAAATTAACCCATTACAGATGTTTTTACGTGGATTGAAATTTTCTAGTTCAGATCTGATCTGATATAGTCTGGTCTGTTTAAGTTTGATCTAGTCTAGTAGATGTCTAGTCTCTGTGTGTTTTACAACTGCACGAGTTTTGTCTAGTCTGGGACTACAATAAGTCCAAATAAAAACATCATACATACAAATATCTTTTACCTATCAAATCATAGTAAAACTGAAGAAGAAGTTTGAATCTTTTATATGCCAATTCAATTACATGTTAAATTAGTCAATTGTTAATAGAAAGTTTTTATTGATCAGAGAAAACTTGTGTTTCAATAGGAAACTTTTTGTTTTATTATAGTCGACCAAGAAAATTTGAAATATGCTTCTTTATTCAACTAAGAGCTCGTTTGGTAACACTGAGATCAACTGAACCGCTTGATCAAGTAAAACTTTTGTTTCATAAAACTATGCAGCATACAAAAATCACCCAGAAAGCAAAGTTTCATAAAACTTTTGTTTCAATTGGAAATTATAGTCGACCAAGAAAACTTGAAGTATGCTTCTTTATTCAATTAAGAACCTGTTTAAAATTTTTGTTTCACATTTTTAACTTTACAAAAGCATTTAAACTTTTTTTTGATCATACAATAGCATTTAAACTTATTGAATTGCATAACTTTTTATTATCTCGAACTAGAATTTCATTTTTTAAAAGGAACTCAAAAATATGAATCACAATTATTTGTTGATGTTGTTGTTCAATGGTGCCTTAACTCTTCTTTCATTTCAAAGGGAGTATGTTTTATGGGTTTTTCACTTGACCACGTTCCTTTTGTAATAGAGCATCCTGAATTCAAATGTAGCAATACATTCCAATACTTCTGAGAAATTTCATATTCAATAGAAGTACCTGTTACGGGAACGTCTTAAATGGGTATATCGTATATGACAACCGCCCGGACATAAAGCTTGCTTTGGCAGTAAGGTAGGATACCCGACAAATATCGACTCTCCCATGATGCATCTTCCTTTCCATTCAACCCTCCGTTTCCCGCGAGGGACTGTGGATCCATTCATAAAAATCACCCAAGAAATACCGGTGCCGTGAAAGGTTCCTGGTTCAGGTGGTTTACCTGTCCAGTTCTAAAATAGGTCGACTAAAACAGCATATCCTGACACAGTTGACTGAACTAAACCTTTAATTGCACTACAGCACTATTGTATAAAAGGCTGGGAGTGGCTCATACCCCCACCCAAATCAAGAAAACTGAACCATTCCACGCCCAAAAAGCACATAAAACAAAAAAGAAAAGAAAAAAGTAACGGGGAGCTAGCTATACACAATGTATCCAAGAAATAATAATGCATTTTCATCAATGTATCAGCCATCAAGAGGAGAGAAAAAACTGCCACGAAAGCACATAATTTACAAGCTCGCTTGCAGTATCAACTTCCCTCTGCTGCATAGTTTATAGATGGTGCATAGGAAAGCCCAGTCTCATTAAACCCTAAAACAAATCTCCCAACCCAGACTAGACCCAAGATGAAATTGACACATCTTCTTGGGGCTTTATAACAGACTTTTCAACCCCAGAGATATTGACACTTATTATGATGCTTCCAATCATCATCAATCACAAAACCTAAACTCTCTAGCCATCGCTTAACAAAAATGGAGGAATATGATGCTCCAAGATAGCCAGCAATTCTCTCCTTCCCAGGTTTGCTTCGACAAGCTTCACACCTTCAAGCCGCTCTGCTGCACTCAACATTTGTCCCCTCTGCCTCTGTGACAACAGGCAACCCCCCGCCTCAACACACTCCCTATACAGTGGCAGGTATGCTATCGCGACCCTAAGTGGGCCCGGAAGATCAGCCAAACGAATCGGAGATTCGCCCCATTTCACGATCCTTGCCACGTTCATGTAATGTTCTCTTCCTTGTTTCAGTCCCTCTGCAAAGGCTTCCTCAGACCAATTCTCTCGAAGAAAGGCCCTTAACTGAGGAGTGACGGACCCGTCATCGTCAGACCTGGCTATGCTGTCTGCAACAGTATAAGTGGAGGTGGAGTCCCCAAGAAAATCAGATTGAAGGAGGAATGCCACACCGTTGAGGGACCCACCACTTCGTTCGCCTGCTGCCTTGAGAATCTCGATACTAAGGGCAGCGAGAACTGTGTGTGGCACGTGTGGGAGGAGGTATGCTGCGGCTTTGACCTGACTGCTGGATGTAGCAGCCGTCAGAGCTAGACAGAGCTCCATGTCACCACATCCCCTCTTCACAAACCACTCAACAACCTGCATGCACCCCCTCTCAGCTGCCCTCATCAGTGGGCCCAAGAATGCCATGGCATTCCCCTCCTCCACTAGACATTCCATTGTTCCGATTTTACAATAGTGTGAAGCAAACCCCAAAGCCAGGTCAACATCAACGTCCAAACTGTTTCTTTGTGCAATCTAAATAAAAGGCGACCAAACAAAATATGAGAAGATAGCATATGGACTAATCATCAAAACAACCCATATACATGGGAAAAACTTGATTGAAAACCATGCATCAAGAATTGAAGAGGTATTAGGAATTAGAAGAGCAATAGCACTATAGCTCTGTTTTGTAAGCGTTTAATGCATTGGTGTACACTTGGGAGCTTATACCTTATTTTAAGTCTCAAATAAGTCATCATTTCTGTGGTAAATAAAACAAGAGCTTAAAAACTCCTATGTGAAACGTTACCTCTCACAACATCCGAGAAATAAGCTACTAAGTACTATCTTTATGTTTTTCTTACTAATGGCATTTTTCTCTACCAAAAATGGATCTATTTATCCATATTTTATTCTTTTGTAATAATTTTTAAATAATCTTTCTACATATTTTCAACGGTGGATTATACCTAACAGTTCTAAAAAATCACAACTATACACTTCAATCTTCTATTGATTGGTTTTCAGCTTGGAGTGTTAATTATGCTCTCAGCCTATAGTACTCATGCAAACTCCATTGCAATAAACTTATGTTGCATAGTGTCTCCAAAAACTAGGAGTTTTAGACTACATCTATATGGGTTGAGCAATTCTTTAAAATCACAAACCACATTTCATATTTGGGAATAAGGCAGTGCTGCTGCTGTAGTTGCCTGTTGCTCTGCTGATCATGATAAAGTAAAACTTCACACATAACAATATCTGTATCTTTACTGCTTGTCTGCTTATACTCACTATGTAAATTTTAATCGGTGTACCTGATACATTGTTGTGCACCTCTCTCTTGAAAGCCACAATTGGCAAATGTATTTCCTTCATCTTTTTCTTACTATAAATTCTCAATTCCGGAACAAATCAGCAAGCGTATTACAGGAAGAAGCAGCACCCATTGGTTTTGAAGTCATTTTATTTTTGTGATTCTCAACTCTCAAGGTATAATTTGGTAAAAAAGGAAAAATAAAAACAGGCACTTACATCTCCAAATTCAGGTATCATCTATGGCGAATGCAAATCTAAAATGGTACAAGTAGGGCTGATTGAACCCTGAGCTATGAAGCAGACATAGCACATAGCGTGTCATTGTCTAAACATTCTGTCAAGACTGAGGGATGCTATTGAAAAATGGACTAGGGAAACAAACAAACAAAATCCCTAAATTAATAACTTGTACTCCTGAAAGATGTCTTTCTCTAGTCCTTGCATAATCCCTTGATACTCTGTATGGTCTTTTACTTCTATTTTTTAATAGATCATTGACTATTCGTGAGTTTAATTAATTGTGTAATATTTGGGTAAGACTGCGTACATCCGACCCCCCTTACCCCACCGAAGGTAAATGAAAATGAAAATGATCAACTCCAGAACTCCATGAAATTCTTTCTAGCAATTAAGATCATTTTTAGCTGATTGTAGAGAAACAGTTAGATGCAAAACCTGCAATTAACTCACAGTTCAATCTTACCCAGTTACCCCCAAATTTGTTTTTCTCTATTTTGACTTTTAAACCATTATTCATCTATGTTCAGGTATATTCTATACATACACACACACACACACATATATATAAGAGATCAAATACAAACCATGCTTAAAATAGTAACCTACAAACTCAATAATATGCAACACTTTGAACTTCGATATGCAATACAAATAATGTAAAGATGCACAGTTTGTGACAGTTTGTAGGTTAGCATGGGAGGACTAGTTTGTATGTGATCTCACCCCTATATAAAACTGGGTTGGACAGTTTTCTTTGGATACTAGATAATAAATCCATAGAAATTAGCTTCTTTTATTGAAATGTGACTTTCTTGGGTAAAGAAACTTAAGTTTAAAAGAAATAAATCATTTTCTAGGGACAAAGGAATAATTTTTATTTTAAATTAGCTTCTTGGACAGTTTTCTTTAAAATACTAGATAATAAATTCATAGAAATTAGCTTCTTTTATTGAAATGTGACTTTCTTGGGTAAAGAAACTTAAGTTTAAAAGAAATAAATCATTTTCTTGGGACAAAGGAGTATTCCCCGTCAAGTTCAGTCCACGACTTTTCAGAAAAAACTCAGTTATAATTTTCAACTTTAAAGCATAAGACAACAGCTACATATTATATCATATTTTATGTTCTAGTGGGTAGAGTTAACACTATTACTCTTATGACTGGTGATGTCTGATGAATCTTTTCTAACTTAATGATTCGTAGTATCGTATTTAATGAAATTATGATATTGTGTGACAAATGTTTTCTATCTTTGCCAAAAGTTATGTGTTTTTGGTTCAATCACGCATTATACTCCTTCCATCCTTCAAAATTTTGTCAAGTTTGACCGGCACGGAGAATAATAAAGTAAAAATTGTGTGATTAAGTTTGTGCATATAAGAGAGAAATAATAAGAACCACAAATTAATTGATTAAAAAGGAAAGTAACAAACTTTTTAGGACAATCAAAAAAGGAAAGATGACAAAGTTAAAAGGGATAGAGGGAGTATATTTTATTTTTATAAATTTTTTATAAGCATCGCTTTTTATGAGAAAGCTACGCTTTGCTTAGCACTTTTGCTTTTGAGCAATGCCCTACCTCATCGCTTTTGTGCGCTTTTTGCTTTAAAAAACTTTGCATGAGACCAATACATGCCTTCAATGGACTTGTGTGGCATGGCCATAGTAGCAGCATTCCTAAGGCTCTTGTGAGCCTACAGAAAAGAGTCTAGAGAATCGAAATGATTCAAGAAAGGCTGCACTTGGACACATTTCAGCAAGAAACAAACATAAATAATAGGGAACACACGTGAGTACGTGACACCAAGAATAAAATGGGAAAATTCCCGAAATAGGACTAAAACAGTTTCAAAATTCCAAAATAGGACTGTCATGTTTTTTATTCCCAAAATAGGACTAATTACTGCCATGTTTAGAAAATACTGACATGTTTGAATTTTGGTACTGCCAAAACATGGCAGTAATTAGTCCTATTTTGGGAATAAAAATATGGCAGTCCTATTTTGGAATTTTCAAACTGTTTTAGTCCTATTTCAGGTAATATCTCGAATAAAATGTATTTTGAAATCAATCTGTTAAGTGTTTGCATCAAAGACCTCCCCTCCAGCGACGAGAATGAGTCGGGGAAGAGAAGATAGGTTAAATTCTTATGTTGGAAATTGGATTTAACTTTAACCTGACCTGGTCAAGATATACACAAATTAATTCTTTTAAAGGTGTTTTATTCAATAACAATAATGAATTTTAGAGAAAACAACTGCTAATTAAGAAGTTACCTAAATACAAACAGTTAATTATGATGTTGCCTAAAATTGAAATAGGAATATAATAATAAAATCGTAGTCTCCTAATTGATTTGTAATTATTTGAAGGCTTGAAGCGCACAGATCAATCCCCCCTGCAGCGTGTCCTTTTATTTGTTCAACCACTTTAATTTTCAATAGGTTTTGGACCACTATCCAGTATCTACTAATGAGCTTGGAATGTTTGAGAAACAACCCGTTAGCACAAAAATCTCAAAGACGAGGTGGACGTGATGAACATGCTCTACCGATGACTTACTAGTTACTATAGATTCAGGATGTCATCAAAGAAAACCAATACAAATTTACGCAAATAGGGCCCAAAGATATTGTTCATGAGGCTCTGGAAAGTGGATGGTGCATTGATAATTCAAAGGGCATCACCAGGAACTCAAAGTAGCCATGGTGGATGCGCAGAGTGCTAGTTTTTTCAAGTCGTTGGGAGCATGTGGATTTGGTAATAGCCGGATTGAAGGTCCATTTTGGTGGAGATTTTGCCACTTTCCTTTTTAACGTCTTAGCATTCAACTCCCTGTAGTCCACAAAGAAACACTATGTGTCATCTGACTTTTTACTAATAATACTGGGAAAGAAATGGAGATAGGCTGTGCTGGATTGTTACTTTTTGTAAAATCTCGGAACATTGTTTTTCAATTTCATCCTTCAGAATGTAGGGACGATGATACAGCCGAACCACCACTTGACCTGAGCCATGCAATAAGGTAATATAATGATCATGAACACGCCAAGGTGGAAAACCAGAGGTCTAGAGGTTCTTGGAAGAGGTCACCGAAATAATTCAACATAGTGTCCAGAGAAGGGGCCACCATACACGATGCAACAGCCATGTGTAAATGAAGGGAAGAGTCTGCTGCCTAGCTTCGCATTTCTACTATGAGGCCCTCCCACTCGATATGCATGAAGAGATAGTTGAAATCCCACAAAATGGAGCTGAGGCCATGGAGCCATTGGACCCCAGGATCATATCAAAACCTGCCAGAGGAATGACATAAACATCTTCTGAGAATGAATTGCCATTGACCTCAAATATCATATGGGGGCAAGTACCAATAATCGGAACACATTCTCCGTTAGCGACTAGGACATAATGGGTACTCCCCATATCACCAAGATCGTGATGGATTGGTTGTTGACGTGAGCTGGCAGTCACAGGGTGGATTGGTCATTACTAGAAGAGAGAAGGATGGCTCAGCACTGAGTGGAGAGTCAAGGTTGTACTGGGAAGAACCGTCATCAATAATTTCAATAAAAACTTACTTTTTTTATCTGTGTCCTGGAATCCACCGATCAAGTTATATCATAGAACCTTTTCCCAGCGCATGACGGCCTCATTGCTATATAGCTATCCAGGTCATGCGTCTCGTGAGCTTGGCGAGGTCTCCTTCTAGGTTCGCACCACAAGGGAGGCCAAAGTGTTTGGTGCATACACAAATCAAATCTTCCAAATGTGCTTTATTCAATAATAATTGGGACCCTTATATAGACTATTGAATTGTGAAGAGAAAAGAACTTTGAATCAGAAAGTTGCCAAAAGCGGGCTGCTAATTAAGAAGTTGCTTAAGTTTCCAAAAGAAAGCTGCTAGTTAAGATTCTTAAGAAGTTGCTTAAAACTGAAATAGCAACGTAATAATAAAGTCATAATCTCCTAATTGATGTGTATTACTTGAAGCGTAATGATCAACCCCCCCCCCAGCGCGTGTCTTTTTTAGTCACTTTGTTTTTCAGTAGGTTTGACCGTTCGAGCCTACTATTCGCTGACAAGCTTGGTCTTGCAATCTAGAGCTGGCTTTGTCGATGGTGGTATTAATGGCCCCAAAAAAATCCAAAACAGAACCCTTTGGAGAGAACGAATGTGGGACAATAACTAGTGATGCCTTTTGCACGCTCTGCCTCCCTTCAATAAAGGAATGGCCCACGTCCACTCCTTCAATAAAGAGTGTAATTTTGAGTAAGAACCTAACTCTTCTCTCCCCCTTTTCTCTCTCTTAAAACCTAACTCTCTTTGTCTTAGAAACATGTCATTCTCGGATTTTGCATTCGTAAAACATCAAATTCATCATCCAATTTCATACATTCGAGAACCAAGACACCAAAGTCATAAGCTTTCCCTATCCTTACAACATTTAAATACATCATGACTTGGCAGAATTAGTCTGGCTTTATTTGTGATGTTTTGTGTGCTTAGTTGATGAATATTACTAAGAGACTGGGATAACTTGACAGGAAATTTGGGTAGCTAAGGTTCCATTCTTGATTTTATTCATCTAACCTTACTTTCTATTTGCCAAGAGACTAGACTAGGAATGGTTGAGAAAGCATATGTCACTGGATCGAGCTAGTGAAGCCTATGGGAATTTCATTACAATTAAAGTCCACCCCTTTCCTTTGGTTGGAACTATACATGTTCCCTCCTCCTTATCATCAATGGTTGGAGCGATCACAAAAAATATCATTGTTGTCCCAAATAGCTCCAAATCTCTCTCCCTCCCTCCCTCTCTGAAAAAGTTCAATTAATAGTGGTGCCTTCACCTATATACATAATATCGAATTTGTCCAAACACCAGAGAAATCAATTCACAGCCTTCAACCATGAGTGAAATGTGTAACTTCAGTCTCCCGAGCCTTCAGATGAAGTGGATTTGGTGCTTAGAGAGATGAGACTGCATTCACAGACAAAGACGCATCAAAATCTCGCTTGCCTCATCATGCCCATCTTTAATTCTTTAGGGATGAAGTCTACAATCTCATTCTCAAGAGCCATCAGGTAAAAAGGACTACATCGAGAAATCAATAACAACAGGCTTTCATGTGATCAATGAAGTACCAAGTACTCAAGAGTCAAGATGATCCATTGTGAAGGTTAGGAGGCACGTTACAAAAGCATAGAAATAGGCCATGCCTGGAGGTAAAGTTGCTACTAAATGAAAGTTCCCCATGAAAAAGGTGTTAAGCATCATACTATAGAGTTGAGGTTCACCGTTCACCTGCTGAAAATCAATTAAGGGGATTGCATTGGAAATGAAATTCTGTAGTAGTTTGACAATGTCCACAATACCAATAGCCTAAAATAAAAAAACATGAAAAAGGGGAACCGACAGGAATCCCCTAAAGTGCCCAATAAAGACAGAGATAGAAAGCACCAAAAGAAAACCTTCCACAGATGATATTTTGTACCTGCAATAGAATGCGAACAAGCTCTGTGCTTCCAAAACGTGAAGCTTCAAGAAAGCACTGGTTAACATTGTCAGCACCACCCTCCACCAACATCCCTAGCAATCCATGGATAACAGTTGCCGATATACCAGATGACCAAAGGGGATCAGATGAGATAGAGAAGAGAGTAAGAGGAAAGCATGCTGCATCAAAGGCTTCTGTGAAGTCCTTTCCAGTAAGGTTGTTGCCAGCAAGATCTAGAAAAGTCTTGAAAGCAGATAACTGAAGTTGTACAACAGCGGCTGAGTTGCACCCTACTGTATCCTCATTTCCTTGGCAGCGCAAATGGAAGCCTATACAGTTAAGAGCCCATTCAGTGAATTTCTGAACCTTTGCTCCAGCTTCAGCTTTCAAACTCTCATCTCCATTGCATTCTTGTAGTCGCTCGTGCAACCTGCTGTGGTGGAACACAGATGAGAAAATTCTACGCCAAGAAAATAAGAACCAAACTAATACACTCATTAAGAATGATAACAAGTGGATATTTTAAACAAAAACATGACATAAAAATAACTTAGGCCAAAAACTACAGCACAACCGACATGTAAAAGTAAAAATAACAGCTTGTTAAAGGGAAAATTAAAATACATGTTAGGGAGGTTACATATCCGAAAATCAATCAGAGACTGAGAGTGTGAGCAAGAAAATTTTGTTAGTTAGAAGACAAGTAGATTGATCTCAATCCCGCCATACAGATGAGTGTTTTCCTGTTTGGTATTCCACTATACAAAGCAGTGATGGGTATAAAAGAAGGATATGTAATTTTTGAGGTTAACTATCTACCATTCTATGGTGTAAATTTACAATATTGTTTAGAGCTTGAAATTAAAACTTCAAAAAGAAAATGCACTTATTTATCATACAAAGTATAAAGAGCTTTGAGGTTAAATGTGTTCCTAATCTAAGCAAATGAAAAGAAGGCTTTACTAATTGGACAGCTAGCAGGCTTTAAGGTAAATTTGAAACTTGCTTACTCTAAAAGATTGAGATCACAAGCACTTCATACGTTACTATAGCCGGTTCATGACAGAAAACAAGAGACAGGGAGGGAGGGAGGGAGGGAGGGGGGAGGGAGGGAGGGAGGGAAGGAGAGGGGGTGAGTGAAAGAGAGGACCTTTGAGCCATCACACTCACAGTATCACCGAGGCTCATTGTTCTACTTTGACAAGCAGAGACACATGAAGCAAGAAACGAAGTACGGAGAACTGCTCGAGTAAAGTCATAAGCACCATCTGATATGATCTTCTTAATTAAAGCTGTTATACCACAGATATCTTGGTGTGTGCTCATGAACCAGACAGAATCCAGAGCAACGCATAACGCATCATTGAGAGTTTGTGGATCGCTAAACATGATTAGTTTCTCAGAGAGTTCCCAATTATGAGAGCTAACAGCAGTCTGGAACATACGCCCCAACTCAATCCTGTCATGTCTACTGAGCTTCTTTTCCTGCCCAGAACTCTCATCTTTCCTCACGTCTGAATCAGTAGTTGCAAGCCCGAATTTAAGTTTCTTAACCCCACAGCTACAGGCTCCTCCTTCTGATCCCATTGATACACCAATCTCGCTTGTTTCCACATCCATTTCGGAACATTGAAGTTCCTCAATGCCAGCCACCAAATCCAGGTCTTGGGTCTCCACCACAAACGGTCTCTTGTCTTCCTTCATTGGACTTGGTACAACCAAACCAAACACCCAAAACTAACCAAAGATCCGAGCAACTACTTCTTCCAAGTTGCACCAATGAGCACAATTAGTTGGTGACCATCAACCCGAAATTCATCTCTGAAAACAATGCTCAGATTTATAAAAAAGGTTTTGAAAAATCAAGGATCGATTAACTTAGATATGGAAGTTTAAGCACGGCCTAGATTCTTCATTTTGCTGTAGGAAACCACATCAAAACACTCACCACCCAAGACAAAAGCATATGTTAGTAGACGAGAGGGTCAATCATCAGCTAAGAAGCTCAGCATATACATCATTAGAACCTCTGGAATAAAAACCCCTTTTTCCTCAGTCCGAAACAGTCAAATTCAGTCTCCAACCCTACAAGCTACAAACAGAGTATCATCTCAGCCATTCACGAAACTAAAGGACAATTAATCATCATCAGATCATAAGATTAGAAAACAATACTTAATACAAACAACAAGAAAAAGAAAATCATGAAAACCAAAAACATCAACAATGGAACATGTTATCAGAGGGAGAAATTACCAAAATAAAAAATGTAGGAAATAAGGGGGGAGGGGGGGCTCAATGCATGCCTGATTGGGAGAGGCAAAGGTGACCTCTCTGATGAATTCGATAGACTGTGGCTCTTCCTCACTCAGGATGGTTTTTAAGAACGGAAGAGAATCGGGGAAAAGGAGAATGAATAATAAAAAATTTGCTTTAGGAAAAAGGGAAGAATCCCAAATTTGCCTATTTGGGAATCGGTGTATAATAAATAAAAGAAAAGTAGGAAAAATAATTACGTACTCGTAGTATTCCTCGTTTCTCGATTTCTTTAATACGGGGTAATTCTTTTCCCAGCACTGCCATTGCACTATTCTTTTTGTTCAATAATACCCTTTGAACAATAATACCCTTTCTAAGAGAAATAATTACATATTTATGATTAAAATAAAAATTATTTATAAAAATATGATATCTTAAGAATATATTTTGCACAACTAGCTGAAAAAATATTTTTATGAGCTTTTTAGTAATCGTTAACTTGTAGTAACTGAAAAGATCTTAAATGGAGGAGATTATGGGTATGTTTGGCACAACTAGCTGAAAAGATACTTTTGTAAGCTTTTTAGTAGCTGTTAGCTTTTAGTGACTGAAAATATCTTAAAAGAAAAAGGTGATAGCTGTTTGGTAAAAAACTGACTGTTGATTTAGTTCTGTTTGGTATACAAGCTGTTAAAACTAATTAATACTAAAAGTCACAGACTTTTCTCAGATGCTACTCCCTGTAGCATCTCAAAAAAGATCTTTTGTTTTTTGAAAAACTCTTAAAATTTGTCATGCCAAACATATAACTAGAAGTTTTAAGAGACTTTTTAAATAGTACAAAAGCTAGAAGGCATAGACTTATGCCCGCCAAATATGCACTATAGTTGTTTGATAAAAAGTTGATTATTTGATTTTGTTTAATTTTTTATTACAAGATGTTTTGACCAGACCTCACAGCGATTTCAAGTTCAAAGGAAACTACAACCGCAAGTATTTCAACCGGAAGTCTTTGCTTAAGCATGAACCCCATATAGTTTGGAAATGAACTCTTATTTAATTTTTTATTTTATTGAGTTATTTGAATTTGTTGGTTTAGACTGCAAATAAATACTCCATATATAACTAGTTAAAACATGTATTTTTTGTATACTATTTTTTCTTCATTTTATTTTATTTTTCTAAACCTAAAAAGTATTTTAAATTTAGATATGATCCCTCCTCTTCCCTCTCCTCTATTATTATTGGGTTCATGACAATTATGTTTACTTGAGATGCTTATGTAGAAGACCAATTTTAACTTTTTTCATATATTTTTTTCTTTCTTTCACAAATGGAATATATTTCACATATATTTTTCATAATTCAGAAGATTTCATCTATTTAACCAGAACTCAATCAATTTCAGCAAAATAAGTTAATTCTATTTACTTTAGTATTATCAAACAGACTCTATATTAGACTAAGTTTATTTTTCTTTTAAATCACATTATATGTGATCGGATAGAAATTAAATTTCAAATTAGCTAAATTAAATACTGTCTGTGTGATATCGCACGGGTTTGAAAGCTACTGATTAAAGAGAGTAAAATGCTTTAAAATTGTGCAGTTAATTCCAAAAAGTGCATACTCGAGTTTTTGGAGGATTTTTTAGGGGAGACAAGATGAAGTGAATGATTTGTATTTGTGTGTGTTTGGTTGAAAGAAATTAGGTGGGAAAAGATGAGGGTTTCCAGAATCTCCAATTCCTCTCATTCTCAACCCCTCTCTCATTCCCAAATTGAAGTGTTTCGGAGGAAAGGTGTCGTTACACAGCATGGATATAAACGTTGCAAAGCGCAACAAATCTTTTAAAAGTAAAAATTTAAGAAAATTAAAAATAAAAAATACAGAAGAATAATTAAAATACCCCAAACTTTGAAAGGATGTAATGTAAACACCCCAAATTTTAATTTAAATACCCCAAAATTTATATAAAATATTATTTTTGCACCATGTTCCTGTATAATTTTTAAACGTTCATGTATAATTTTAAAAAAATCAAATTTTGGTGTTAATTTCATAATTCAAAATATTATAGCATTCCCCATTCTAAACTTCCATTGTAAAATAAATAGTATTACCCCCACTATATATAATTGTAATGTTTTCTATTTCCTATGTTAAATTATGCAATTAACATCATAAATTTACATTTTTGAAAGAAATGATACATGACCATGATGTTAAAATAATTTTTTATATAAAGTTTGAGGTATTTAAATTAAATGCGAAACTTTGGGGTGTTTATATCACACTCCAAATTTTTGGGGTATTTTAATTATTTTTCTCCAAAAAGAATAAAAAAGGTAATAAATTAATAAGTTTAAAAAATACAAAAATCTAAAAACAAAAAAAAAATGAATAATCGTAAATTTGAAATACTGAAAATAAAACTGAAAAACTGGAAAATTGGAAACCTGACCAACCGAAAACCGAAAAATTGAAAACTGAAAACATTGAAAATTGGAAACCGAAAAATTGAAAAATTGAAAAATTGAAAAACTAAAAAAAAAAATTGATAAACGGAAAACTAAACAAACGATAAACTTTAAATTTGAAAAATTGGAAAACAGAATATCGAAAAATCAAAAATTGAAAAAATGAAAATTGAGAAACTGAAAAACTGAAAAAAATGCATATTTGAAAAACAGAAACTGAAAAGGTGAAAACTGAAAACTAAAAAATTGACAAATTGAAAAATCGAAACACTGGAAAATTGGAAAAGCGAAAACTGGAAAAATCAAAAACCTAAAAATTAAAGATTGAAAAAAAATAAAAAATAGATATTAAAAACTTATAAATATCTAATACGACTTGTGAACTTAGGTAGTGATAGTAATATTTATAATCGTTACATGTATCTAACTTTATAAAACAACTATCCTATAAGTAGTGGTGGAGCTAGGAATGACAGATTGACAGATTAACGAGGTCGGACCTTAATGATTTTATATAGAGGGTCAAAACTTTTTTTGACTACAAGTATATTTTAACTAAAACTTAAAATGTGATTATATCTTTTGACTACTAGTACATTATAAATTTTTTCTTGGGGGCGAGACCCGACTAGCTTCCCTCTAACCAAACAAAAATGTTTATGGAAATCATTCATTCTCCTTCCCTTCCCTAAGCTCTCCTTTCAACCAAACATGGACCAAGAAAAGGAGGAAACGTATTTGGCAATTCGAAATATGGTGACGCCTCTGCTGAAAGGAGTCAAAGAGTATTAATTAATGGGCCGTCTGCCCACATCATTCTCAGTCCACTCATGACATTTTTATGTCACCTGTGGCATTAAGTAGGAAAATTAATTGCTTAATGCCATTAAGCAATTAATTTGAAACCATTAATAAAGTGATTGAAAAGCAAATGTGTGCTTGAGATTTGATGAGTAGAATCAATGAAAATGATAAAGATCGCATATTTATTTCCAAACAGAGAAATATGGGATTCATTTTGGGACAATTCAAAAAAGAAAGTAGGAGTGTAGGAGAACTAAAATCGGACGGAGGAAGTATTACTTTCTGAGTTTCTCTTCTTTACACTTACATCATTGTTTGTACGCTTAATTCCCTTTTGTATCAATAGAACTCAATTTGTAATTTCTTTTTTGAGAGGGGAAATGATGAAAGAAAAGATAAACACATGTTATTTAGTGGATCTGTCTTTAATCCCACACAGACCCGCTACTCGCTTGTGATCCTTTGTGCCTATGAAATACTCGTTTTATAAATTCACTATAGGGTGGATGCGGGAATCAATTTACTTAGCCATCTTTGACTTTTCCAGTTAAAAGTGGTAATCTTTGACCAATTATTTAAACTAATATTGATGGATTATAGGGGTATCCAAACATATAATTAAATGGGGAGATTGAGCTCAAGAGAGGGAAGAAGATGATGAATAGTAGAATATTTGTATGGAGTATGCATTAAGAAGTCGGGTTACAAGTCTCCCAAGGGAGTATAAATAGACAAATAATGGGTCGGGCCGCTAATATGGGCCCGATAGGCCCAATTACATAAAAGACTAATCTAGCACATACAAATGATATATGAACTCTACAATAATACAAATGATATAAATGACATCCGATAAGCGTGAGTGGGCCGCTGTTCGGGCCCATTAGTCGTGAGACCCGTGGGTCCAAGTCTATATACTCTATCAGGAGCCCCCCATTCCCTGAGTCGAGAGTACTCGAGGCGAAAGGGAGTAGAACTGTGTGCTGATATGTCATTGTCTGGTGAGTAAACTTCGTGAAAAAAATTGAATTTCTGCTTCTTTGGTTAACGGAGGCGCTAAGTCCCTCGCTCTTCCAGTCCCCCACTCCTTGAGGTGAATGTAGTGAGGTGAAGAGGAGTAGAGTGGTGCATGTCTCGTGATGTCTTCAATAGGGGACCGAGGGTCGACGCCTTTTGATCCACAATGGGGAGATGTCTCGTTTAAAACCTCATCAGGAAAAAACTCAGTGGGAAAAAATCCTAACGAGGGAAAAAGAGTACACCGGATGCCCCTAAAATGAAGCGAAAGGCGTGAGACCTTCGGCGGTTTGGCTTAGGTGTGGAGCTGCACCGGTGTCCGTCTGCTGAGGGATGGCCGAGATCAGTCCTCGTATGTGTGTAGCTCGGCATGATAGGTAATCCTAGTCATCAAATAAAAATGACTAAGAGATAGGTCGAGTGACCGTCCATAATAGGATGTCTGAGTCATCAGATAAAGTGACCGTGACGTGTGGCCGAGAGGCCTATAAGAAGTCCAAGCCATCAAATAAAGATGATCAGGAGAGACGGCTAAGTGGCTGGTGTGAGAGCTCCACGTCATCAAATAAAGATGACAGGGTGATGTATTGTAACACCGACCCCGAGCATATTTACTTTTAGTAAATGATGTAATAAACCTTGAAAGATGATTTATGAATTTGCGTAATTGTGAATTTTTACTATTTCTTTTACGTGAATAGTAAATTGCATGTGGGGCCCACAGCGGGACGGGGACCGCCCGATAATTCCCGAACCACATATTATATTCATCTTGGTCTAGATAATATGTATATGGTGGTGGATATTTTATTTGGGCCATAAGAAAGGCATGGGGTTGACCGGTTGGTCAAACGGGGCCCAAATTACCGGTATTGGTAATTTAACGGATAACAGCCCGAAATGAGTTTCGGAGACTCCTAAAATTAATGTTGGGGAATATACATCTATTCTAAAGGCCCATAATTATTAGGAACACGTGATATATTTTATTTGGCCCGATAAAATAAAATA